CTTATATCTTGATGGTGCAGAGGAAAGACTGCTTGCCAGAGAAGAGGTGGTCCCTCTCTCTCCAAATTGTTGCTGGCCAATGAAGAAAGATTAAAATAAACCAACCACAAGAATTTCTCTAGTGTTTATGTAACCAAATGTAATTTTTGCTGCTCATGGGGCGCTGGTAAGGCTGCATGTCCACATGTGCATGAAGTGTGCATTTCAGCCTGTGTGTGTGTATAAAAAAAAAGTGAAAAAAACAATTTCCCCCTAGGGGATCAATAAAGTATATCTTCTTCTATCTTTTTCTTCTATCTTCTTCTAATAAAAAACTGTTGCCCTAGTTTTAACTTAACTGCCAATGGCGATTTACAGAAGAGGGCTTGACATGAGTTGGGTCGCTAGACATCGGTTGTACATTACTTTTCACAATGCATTGTGGGGTACTTTGAGTCCACTATACAGGGTATAATAATCCTCACAGATGAGAGCAGCCATATGTCATTATCTTCTCTTCAGGACGACCACGCCCCCTTTTGGGTGAAACAAGCGCTGTAAAAGTGACTAGTGGCACCATGCCTAAGAGCTGCTGCGTCACATTATGCACATCAAACAATAAAAAAAGCCAGTTTACGACTTTCTTTACTTTCCTAATCAGAAAGGACAGTAAAAGAAAAGATCTGTGGCTTTAGGCAATCTGCAGAGAGGATAAAAATGATAAACCGTGAGACCCGTACAGTCAGTATGTGTCTGTCTGTGGCAAATACTTCATCACAGGTTAGTTAATGATATTACTGAGTCAATGACATGTGTGCCAATTATAACTGTAGATTTAAATAAATCAGTAGTCTTAGTGATGGTGTAACTAAAGTTTCTACTGTGAAAGAATATGGCCCTAACATAAAATACTTTGAAATGGAGTTTTGGAGCAGAAGGTATTTCACATTATATACCTCTATAATTCACATAAACTGAGATACTTTCTAATAATGAACCTTGTAAACAGCATGAATGGACTGAAAGGACACTAATCAACCGATATTTCATTAAGCCTTTTTTTATATAACAATGCTGATCGTTGATCTGAAAAGACACAGCCTCACTGTCTGCCATGCTGGCCATAGGGTTTTGGCTCCTAATAGCTAAAAAGGAACGCGGTATTCTTATTTTACTGTATTAAATTGGCAAAGATCTCGGAATTTACATTTACCGCCAATTAAATTAAAGAGGCTGCGTTTACCCAAAAGGGGACAGGGGCTTAACGCAAGGCCGAAGTACCTGAATGGGCTGCTCTCATCTATTCAGACAGCACTGTGAAATGGCAAACTCATGGGGGACTATATAGTGGGTCGTGAGTGATTTCAGACACAGCCCTGACCTCCACACCCAGCTGTGCACCTGTTCCCAATCCCCTCATCTGCTACTCAGTATGAAACCCTTCCCTTCAGTTCCCTGCCAGATTGCCCGTTGTGTAACCCAGCCTTCATGATTCAACCTTCTGCAGCCTTTCTTATTATTATCCTTCGCCTTTTTTTTTTTTTTAGATGTTTGGCCTACCTGCCTTGCCCTTTTTGTTCTGCCTTTTGCCAGACTGTTCCTAAAACCTGTTTTTGACCATATACACTATAAACTTTGCTTTTAGCCTGCATGCTGCCACTGAGTCCTCTACCTGATTTACTTAGCCGCTACAAATGTGCGACACAAACACAAATGTGTCTTTTCCATGCAGGAATTTGTTTGTAGCTTTATAAATGTTATAAGACACACAGCCTGTTTTTGTGTCTACAGCTCTCCTGCTCCAACTATGTCAGCATTAACCAGCAATAACATTTTCATTCCGAACTGCTGTTTCCAGCGCTGGAAACATAAAACACATACTTTACTGTAAGGATATTGTGTTGCAGCAAACAATGGCAGACAGTAGCAGGCAACTTTTATGTAAATCACAGATTATTAATTTTAAATGTAAATCAGCATTGGGTTGCCGCCGAGCTGTCGTTTCCCTGCATCTCCTCCATCCTTCAGTAACATAACCCTTGTTCTAATGAGAACACTTTCCCCGCGGTGCTGTTTTGTTTACATTGACAATGCCCCACTGAACCTGGAGTGTCTCTTCAGTATCTAATATGACTGCGCAGGCACTCCTCCTCCGCTGCTGATCGTGCATCCGGGAGTCATTCAATAAGCAGTGTAAATCTTTACATACTAGTTGTGATGCTGCACATCAGTGTTGGCTCTATTGGGAAATAATGCCAGTGCTGTTTCTTGGTGTTTGCAGGGGTGAGAGGGTGACAACTTTAGGAAGGAATTTCCGTTCTACAGTTAAATTACAAAGAAGGTCTTGAAACAGCTTGTTGCTAACCATGTGCAGAACAATTTACAGGAAATATTTTAATAAATAGAAATAGTTTTACATTTTAAATGAGAAGAACAACACCAGCCTCACATCTGGGCCGTAAATATGAAGCCATGTCCAGGAGACGGTTAACTTACCTTTGCATAAATACTGGACGTGCGGAGTAAAACGCATTGCTCTTGTGAGTGTCAATAAAAAATCTGTGGTTATATTTTTACTGGGTGAGCGTGTGGTCTCTAAAACAAACACCGGCGGTTTCATTTTCTCATTCCACTCTCATGTCAGTAAGCTAAATATATGGCTGGAGACAGCAGCCAGTTAGCTTAGCTTAGCATTAATACTGGAAATGTGGGGGGAAAGTCACAGAATCCATCTACAAGCACCTACTAAGCTAACTGTCTGTACATTAAATGTATAACTGGACACAGTGGTATCGATCTACTCATCTAACTCTAGGCAAGAATAGATATTTTTAGTGAAAAGGGTGGGATGGGGTTGCACTGGGAAACTTTGAACTCTTGACCTCAGAATTCCTAAAGTCCTGGCTATGGCTCTGTTGGTTAGAGCAGGTTTTAGGGGTGAAAGGTTTGAGATAATATTTTGAGGATTACACAAATGTACCAAACTGTTAGGCTTTATTATTCCAACACTGCAACACAGAGATACAGATTTCATGTGTATACATTCTGAATGGTGGTTCGACTGAGAAAACAAATCTGGAGCTGTGACTGGCAGTCACCCAAGCAGGAAGCAGGTACACGAGGAGAGCAGCCAGTGCATGTGGCTTTGGCTGGCCTAACAAATGCTATAAAGCTAAATGTATTGGGCCGGCGAAGCTGCGGGCAGCAGGGCTGATCATTACTGCAGAATTGGCGAGGCAGCGCACCGTAGATGCCACTGTAGGGTTGAAGGAAGATTGGATCTGAATTCAGATGAAGCCCAGTGTTTATACTGTATACCTCATTAAGATCTGTGTGTGTGTGATCTGTGTGCTGGCTTACACAGCCAAGCACTGGATGGTAACTGTATATGTGAGACAGTGGAAAAAGCGTGTGAGATTATCTGGAGATGCTCAAAGGTAGTCTTGACTTACATTATTCTGGGAATCCCCTTTCAGCTCTAATCAACTTTGTGTTTCACTTCACTCTCCTGAAGCAGTGTCATCAAATTGGTCTTGGAGTCTCACACAATAGAGGCCATTATAGTATGAAGACTTTTATGGATTCTGGGCAGCAATAGTAGTCATATTATAAACAATATGGAAAGGGAAAAATGTGCATGGGGTTTCTTAGCATCCTTGTGTGACCCGTCTGCTTGTCTTTCCTTCTTGCAGCCTTGTTTGGACTTGACCTCCCAAAGACTTTCCATAACCAGTGGGAATATCTGCTCTCTATCACATAGCACTTTAAATGAAAAATGCAAATATGGAGTTGTAAGATCCGTCTAGTTCATGATCTTGGACACAAATATGTCCTTCTTATTTGATTAATAATTTCGAAGAATTTAAAACATTTCTTGTATTTTCAGTCAGTAAACTGAAAGATCTCTCTTTGAGTAGATAAAAGCTAAAAAGAAGTCTAACTTTTCTCTCTTAGGTTTTTTAAACCTCATAAAGTACTGAATTTCAATTATTTAAAGAGGTGACACCTCTAGATTATAGGAATAAAGATAGTGGTGTAATAAGTAATATAAGTAATTTAAGCAAAAGTAACAGCATTGCAAAGATAACTATTAGAGAAAATGATTAAAATGTAAGTATGAGAAGAAAGAGATGTACACACTGACCCTCTGCTTTATTAGTGCAGCTTTAACGTGTCCTTGTATCAGTGGAATTACTACAGTACAAAAAGATCTCTGAATCAAACAGCTGTGTGTAAAACTGACGAATCCACAGAGAATAGCCTGCAGTTTACCTTTATACACAGAGCAATTTAGTGTCTTTAAGCTCGTTGTTTTGGTTTACAGAGAATAAGCATATTTTTCAAAGGGCCTCTAACTATGCATCATATTCTTATCCATAACTTAACTGTTTGTCTTGCTAAGTGACTAGGCAATTCAGCTGTTATATAAAATAATAAAACAATAACAATAAAATAATAAAAAGAGTGAATTAAAAGCATTGCTGAGGAATGAAAGTAAATAACTAAAAACTACACTGTAGTAACTGTAGCAGTATTTCTTTAAAGTACTTGAGTAAATGTACTTAGTTACTTTCTACCTCTGGATAAGAGGTATATGACCATGTGGAATTGCCTCTGGTTATCACCTCCAGTAAAATATGGATTTCTTGGCATTTTATCATAGAGATGTGGCAGCAGCAACTGTTTCCTCAAGCTGAGACCCAGGGGGGTTTCATTGCAGCTCTATTTGGACACCTTAGATTAGGGGGTCACTGGTCTGCTACACATATACTGACACTTTGAAATCTGGCCAAATGAGGTCAGCAACACCTGCCCCTCTGTGAGCACATATATCTCACCTCTAAATGCACCGGCCACCACCACTTGTAAATATAGGAGCATCTGTTGCTCAGGTCGAAGACCAATTACCTTCTGCACAGCTGGAGCCAGATTCTATCACACCTGCATAATATTTGAGCAGTAATGTATCTGTGTGTACTCAACCTCTGGCCCACCCACATGCATGCCACGTGGGATAATGTGGTGCCTAATTACTTCAATACGAGGAAGATCCTCTAATCCAATTTCCTGTCCTTATGTGTTTTAGCGCTGTATCCATCTGCATATAGGATAAAGCGAGAGACATATTCGCTCCTCAACCCCACATTCCAGCGTTCAGTGGATGATGTCAACCTGCTTTTTGAGGTCAGTTTAGATCCTGTAGGTTTAAAAGTGCTGAAATAGTTCATGGCTCAGTGGTTGATTACTGGCAACAAATGTACATTTGTCGAGAATGTGCAAAGGATCTGTCCAAGTCACACATTTTTGTCCATCTTCCACTGACATTGTGTACTGCTGCTGCCCTGCTAATCATGACCAGAAATGTGAAGAATGTTTACCCAAAGTTTTCTGAACATTGATCAAAGGAACATTAACTAAAATGTTGTCTTCAGTTCACTTCACAAAGAAGTAAATAAATAGTGTCTTTGGTAGATTGGTACTAGCTGGTTTTTGGTAAGCTTAGTTGGGTTGGATACTTCTTGAATATTTTTCTTGATGGACCTGTGTCTCCCAGATCCTGCTAGCTGGAATGCAGATCCAAGGTGTGGAGAACACCATGCTGATCCCAGATGAGGAGCTGGCCTCCCTGAGGAGCGTGGAGAAGCTGGAGGTCATCTGTGACGACATCGTCCCCAAGAGGCTCTCCGACATTCGCCGTCTGACAGCAGAGCTCGCCCAGCACCGGCAACCTCTGAGCCAACAGGACTTTGAGAGGACGGTGCTGACCCTGGTGTACACCACTCAGACGCTGGCTCGAGTTAGCAACCAACATCAAAGAGAGGCATGGACGGACGCTGTGATACAGCTGTTCAGAGCCATTCAGAAGGACCTCAGACCCTCTTAAGTTATTATGTGTGTCTTACATACCCTGCATACTAATTCTATACAGTTTGGACTACAGTATTGTTATAGTATACTATTTTTGCAATTGGTATACAAGAAAGTGTGACAAAAAAATCATCTCAATTGATCAACTCAAGGTCTAGTAACTCTTTCCAGATCTTTCAACCACATCTTGCAGTTTTCCTCAGCTGACGCACTAGCTCCAACAGCTGAGTTGCTGAGTTTTCAAACACATATGCTGTGGAAAAAAAGCTAGGAAGCTTTTTTTGCTGGTCAAACCGTTTCCTAGGTCGAAAATGAACTTTTAAACTGAAGAAATTAATGCACTTTACTGTTATGTACCAACAGGAAATAATGCGATACAATAGCTTATTGTCTTTGCTTTCTGTGCTCTTCTAGAAACTGTCTCACCACTATCCAGCATCTGTGTCATTGCTTCTGTGAAATTCTTTGTGGGACGATGGGTAGCACCCTCAAAAATCAAGCGAATTCAGCATCTGTTCAAATACCTAAACCTGCAGTCTTGAGCACTCAAGTGCATGTTTACACACCTCCGAGTGGTAGACAGTGTTTCCCATCTGTGAAAAACACACAATAAAACTTAGCCCGAGACTTGATGCCACATTAAAAAAAGCTCCTTTTCTAAAGATTTCATCACAAAAACAGTTTGCCCAGTTTTATGCTGGAGGTGTGCAAGAGAGAGGGGTATGACCTGCGACAAAGGTCACCGGCTGGAATCAAATTGAGGATGTTGTGCCTTAGGACCACTCGACCACTAGGGCACCCTGATTTAATTGCTTTATCAACTATATTACTTCTCTCTGCTCATAAATTCTTTTTCACTCTCATCCGATTATGACTGTAATATATTATGTGTGATCCTACTTATTGGTTCATTATGTGAAAATTAAATAAAAGCAGCAAAGAGTCTGTGCTCTGTGTATTTGCACAAGCCACAGGATGGCCTCATTAATAACAAGTTTGTCCCAGTGAGCTCTAATACACTTCCACAGGCTTGCAGTCTTAACTTGGGCACTCTGGTAGTTACTGCCAACACGTCACAAAACTATGGGTATTGCGTACTGACTTTTCTAATTATTCTGACCTTTGACCTACTTTAAATCAAACTATAAACAGTATACTAGTTTGACAACTCCATACAGAGTTACCTCCATCTGTCCACTGACTGTCTACATGTTTAATGTTGTCAAATTACTTTAGACGGCGTTAGATGCTTTGCTCTGTCTAGAAAAGATGGCTCAGCTCATTTGATTTGTCAGCAAAAGCCCTTTGAACGAAAACCACAGATCTGTACTTAAGAGTCTGTGTACATCAATACCCCTGATTGCTCATTTGAGAAAACTGTAAAATGTTTGATAGATGTTTGCTTCAAAGCCACCCATTTCCCCACTCATTTTGGGAAATAGGTACTTGCCGTAATAGGCTTTCGTACAGTTCACTCGTCTTGGAGTGGATAGAAAGTATATATCTGTTTGTGCTGTTTTCCCTCCTTGAGTTAATTGGTTTTACATTTGCTTACATTTTAGTATTTATGGTTACATTCAAGCTTTTTCCAGCCTTGGAAATGTTTGTTTCACGAAGTTTGTCATTTCCTGCCACCAGAGCTGCATGCTCTCCACAAGCATTTAATTTATGAAAATGTATATGATGATGACAGGGTTTTTTTAGCAGCGTTTTCGCTCTCTTTCTCAGCACGTCAGCATTCATCTGATGCCCAAGCGGCTGGTGCTGACTTGGGAGGACTGATTGACGAGGAGGTGAAGACTGAAGTGATGGAATTTCCTTCCAAGACAGAGGATCAGCCTTCGCTCCCTGCACCGCTCTAACGATGATGATGATGAGTTTTGGGACGTTTCTGGCCACTACTTGACAGAGCAGTAAGACCCTAGGATATTGAAGAAAACAGCAGAACAGAACAGAACAGATTTTGTTCCAAGTATCGAATTTGACAGCAAAATTTCATTAAGACCTCTGTGTTCCATGTATTATATGACAATTCCTATTGTAATGCCTCATAGTTTTAGGTGCTACTGTTATTCACTTCTGGTATAAAGCACGAGAAATGTTCTCAAATGTTTGAAACAAAATACATATAAAATTGTATTTCCACATAGTTAATGTTTTTAACTTCAGTTTAAACTTTATGTTTCTTACTTAGATGTCTTAATGGGCTTGTCTCTGCAGTACTGAGTGGTAAACATGTGCAGTATTGTCAGGTGTGTAGGCCCATAAAAGTCAATAGTTGCGGGGGACGTGTATTGATACATTTTCCTGTAATTGAGTTGCAGCCCATTTTGCACAGTGCACACCTTAATTGTCACTAAAGTTTTAAAATCACTTACTAACTGCACTGCTTCTCTTTATCGCCATCCCATCCTATGTGCTTGTAATATAGATTTAATAAGAAAAATTAGGCTTTTACCTTGGATATTGACTTATCAGTATACGTCATGAAAGATGAGCCTGTAATATTTCATCAATTTATTGTGCTATCCCTAAATGTCATGAATAACCCTCAGCAGCATAATACATGTTGAGAGAGCAACACCAAGTGGCTACAGGCAGGACTGCAGTCTTGAAGTCCATGTTCTTAAAGCTTGTAGCCAACTTTAACCACAAGATTAGTGAGGCACTTGTTAAAAATAAGAATTCCTGTACCATTCCCCAATGTATAAGTCTTAATCATAACTATATTATGTCCATATTAGGACTTAATCATGTGGTGTAATATAACCAATCCTGACTAAAAAGATGAATCAAATTAACTGAACAGTAATGACTGTCAAGATAATCAAATATGCTGCAGCCTGCAATGCAAGATGATCCTGAAGGATTATATGCATTAAATGTAATTGATGGTCCAAATTGTATCAATAAGAAACATTAAAAGTATTCCATAACAAGCCATTTGCTGGTGTAAATGCAGGAGTATATATAATAAAGCAGTGCCAACTAGTATTGCTGTACTGTCAATAACTGCTGATATATAATATCAAATCACATCGCAAATAAAGGACTTTCACTCCTCTCCCAAGCTCTACAAATAAGATCTGTACAAAAATGGCTCCCTTCATAACACACAATTTATGTTTTATAATCATCCAATCAACAGAAATTAATAAAGCTGAATGACATTTTACTGAAAAGCATAGCACTTAAATGATCATACAATGAGCAATAAAACATAAAATGACTAGAACTGCCTAATACTATAACTAACAATCGCCTACTTCTAATGGTAATGTACCTGGACCTAACTGTGCACACAGACATTTGGTTAATTGTTTTTCACATGAGTTTCTACTACTGGAATTTTTATCTAACAATATATTTGTCATTTAGGTTTGTACCAACATCTGTATTTAAATAAGTTTTATCTCTGTGTAATATTACCAATTATCAGCCGAACATGCTCACTAGGTGGCAGCATTTTCAAATTTGATTTGCTCACTCATGTTATCAGTCATGATTTTGTCATTGGTTATTGATTTGTGCAGATGTTGTAAGGAAGCATGGGTCCAAAGGGACAACTAAGTTTAATATAACAGTACAACATGTAATAGTCGTAATACTGTCCATGCTGTGCACACAAGCATGCATGTAAGACTTTTTATTAAGAGCTCTTGAACTCATTACAATATATTTTTGTTATGCTGACACCAGCATGTGGCCTGCTGACTAAAATCAGCAACGTGGCATTTCTAATTTAAGTTCTCTTTTCTTTCTTGCGTGTGTTTTGGGTTTGAGGTGGCTTAATTAGAACTGAGTCTTGTCAAAACTGGAATGTGTCTTTCCTGGTAGAAATATTTTGTGATCACCTCCAGCTGAACAGGCAGTTGTTTTAACTCAAGCTTATCAGCTGCATATGTTTTCCCCACAGCTGTCAGACATATTTTCAGGCTTCAAGTCTAACTCTGCTGGCAGAGAGGGACCGATCACAATGTGTCACATATATACACACCGTGCTTTTCTGCACCAAATTATACAACTCAATACCTTTTCCATGTGGTTTATACAATGAGTGCACAGCAACCTGAAATATTTGATGGATTATCCCCTGTCTGCCAGTCAGATGACTTGCGGTATAACTTGGCGTTGTCTCCCCGGATATTATGAGAAAATAATTCAATATCTCGATCTTGGGCATCAAACACTCCGGCCATACCACTGAAAACATTCCTCTGGTAAAAATCAGGACAGATCCTTTTCTCTGAAGATGCTTTGACACAATATGAAAACATGTTTTGTGTTTTTATTAGGAAAAAACATTCTGAGTAAAAATAAAGCACAGAATGAAAGCAGTGACTCAAAGTCTCCAGATGTAAGACTGCATGTTAGGAGGTGATTTATGAACTGCAGCTATAAACAGGGTGTAGTCATCAACGTGTGCCTGTCAACCAGTGTCATTCTAGTCATCATGAGTGGGTGATTTCGCAGTTTTCTTGCATTGCTAATACAAGTTTCACTGACACCACCCTACTGCTCATGTTCTGGAATCTAAATCTGAAAAATGACTACCTTAAGGTTATGACTGTACAACTTCTAAGGTTTTAGCAGATCATTAGCTGAAACCACAACTCTAGAAACAGGTCATGGTCATTTTTGCAGCCCTGTTATTCTAATGCGGCTAATGTGGTGTGTATAATAGTAGCTGAGCTTGGAAGAGAGATGGTGCCAGCTGGGGAAACTGCAGAGGGGTTGGATGGATGGATGGATGGATAGATAGATGGATGGACAGAGGTGGGATGCGTTAGTCAGGGAGTGGGATACCTTGTCTCGGAGAGCCAATTACGCAGCGTGAGCGAGAGCATACAGCCCGCTCAAAACAGCCTCCTGCTCTCTCTGGCCTCCAGGAATCAACACAGTATTTCACAGAAACATCACAACAGCTGGGAGACCATCAGGGGAAATCAGAACGCATGAATAAAACAGAATAAACAGTGTTATGTGGATTATTATTGTCCTGATACATCTGTCAGAAACAGACATTTTTGTCAATACATTACTTATCATACAAGTTAAGACAACAAAGCCATTATAACCATTACAGTTCTGGGATTCTTTACAGCTTTTCCACCACATTTATTTGTTGGGCATTGCTGAGTTTTTGATAAGGTGGTGGGAGAAAGAAAGTTGGCAGGCCATGGGATGGTGGATAATGCTCTCCTATCCTCCCAAACTCTTATCGGACATTGTTATGAAGAGGTGCAGGATTCACATGGGAGTTCTGGTATGCTGTGTTTCATCACACTCTGGGTCCCTAATTTGATTTGGCTTGGTGCAGTCCAGCCAGGCGAAGGTGGAGCGATCTCAAAAGGAATCCTCAGTCATGAAAGTGTGAGTGATTGATAATGCTGCTATGTGTGGATGATGTTCTTGGTGATATTATGCTGGTGTCTTATCTCACAGACTCTCTTAAGATCTTTTTCATCTGGAGGATGGAACATCAGCCAGTCAGCCTCCAAACGGGCCAGTATAGATGAGATCTACATGAGGATTGTTTTAAAGCTGCCCCAATGAATACTTTTTTAAATTAATGGTCCAGTGTGTAACATTGAGGAGGATATATTGGCAGAAATGGAATATAATATTTATAGGAATGTTTTTTACTAGTGTATAATCACCTGGAAATAAGATTTGTTACATTGAGCCATTTATATCTCCCATCTGTGGAGTTGTGAATTGCCAAATTTCTACAGTACCCCAGAATGGACAAACCGGCTCTAAATAAGGCAGTTTCTTATGCGTTTGAGGGCCACCGTAGTTTATCCGTCAGGCTTGGAACAGGAGGGTGAAGCAAGGCAGTTGCAATCTGCAACTACACTGCTAGATGGCACTAAATTCTACACACTGGACCTTTAAAAGAATAACATTTTGGGAAATATGCTTATCCGATTTCGAAGAGTTTGCTGAGAAGGTCGATACCAGTGTCATCTGTCCATTAAATATGCTACATCAGCAGCCAGTTAGCTTAGCAAAGACTGGAAAATATGCCTGCCAGTGTCTTTAAGCTCATAAATTAACACTAAATAAAACAACTGAAAGCCAATGTGTAAATAACATGCCACAACATCTTTATGAGCGAATTTGTCAGTGTTATGTTTATAGCTTTTTTCCAGTGGTCAAAAAGATAAATTAATGTAGCATCAAAATAGGATAAAGCAGTATTCACTTGATCGCAGAACAAATGTGGAAGAGTCCTCTTTTTCCATCTGGCAGTAAGCAGCATTGTACCCACTTGGCAGAGGACCAAGACAGCAGTAAATTCACATTTTAACTTGTCACCGTTGCTGAACATGGTAGCCGTGACAAATGGCATATTCCATCTCATGTTCAGCTCTTTGCCTTTGTCAGTTACTGAGACATATAGGATTAACAGAGGCAGTTTAAACAGAAAAACAGCCACAGAGGATCATTATTAGATTCTGATGTGCTTCAGATGTGTCCCAAGTGCACATTGTCTTGACCTGCCCTTATAATGAGGGTCTGCTGATTCAGTCAAATGTCTCCTGTCATGTTCGAATCATGGCTTTCTGATGAAATGTTATGGCAGAGGGGGAAGACCCTAAATCACTGTGGTTCAAAGCTTTTTTTGACCCCAACCACCCTGTAATTGAAAGCCTAAACATCCTCAACACTGCATCACATAACCACTAAGCCATATTATTCCCTGTAATGAATCCTTGCATGTTAGCTCCCGCATTAGCAGGTATTCTTTTGATATAAATTATCACATAAAGTTTCATAGCATTCTCATATGCAGGATTGTGGGCTGCAGAAAAGCCATGGCCAAAAAACCCTTTTATAGCTCTGCAAATTTGCAAACTTATCCTTTCTGAAGTAACTGTGGTCCAAAGATAGACCCTGGCGGGACTCCGCAGAACCAGATCCTGCCTGTATGAGTGATGAGTAAACAGCCAAGGCAGGAGAGGTGGGCTCGTGGGTAGTAATCCATCATGTAAACACAGTGAAACATTTGATTTCCTCTCTAGAAAATGAATGTTTGTTGATACTCAGCCTCGCTTCCGTTGAACTCTGTGATCAATGGTAAGTGATACAGCAACAGCAGGTGGCTGAGACTCAAACACTTGACTGTAAATGAATTCAACTGAATGTGGCCCTGCTCTCCAGCGTATTCCTTTGTTTAGAGAAGAATTAATCATTAAGTGACTGAGGCTCAGCGGCCTGCCAGCTTTGTTTTAACTGCATCTATCTAAGTTTGGTTTTAATGGCCGTTGTGTTTTAGCATAAACACGCTCAGGAAGCTTCAGAATGGGGAATACTTGTGTTTGTTTCTCAAAGAGCAAACCGTGAAATGCAGTGTGTTGGTCTCTGCGTGTGTGTGAGTACTCCTGCCCTGGCCAAATTAAAGGCCGCCTGCCTGCCCCATTATGTGTTTGGTGTCAAACTGACTGTGAAGAAGTGTACGGGGCCCCTGGGAGCAGTATGCCAACTGTTGTTCCCACTTTGCTTAGACTCTCATTTCTCCATCTGATTTGTATATCATCTGTACACACTCTTGAGGTATAATAAACTGTGCTGGCAAATGTCCTTGTCCTTACCCTAACCTGACAGTGTTAAGATATGTCATTGCTTCCATTCTCTGCATCGTACCGACTCTTACAAAAAAAGGCATTGTTTTCCTTCAGAGAAAGGAAACATGTTTATGAGGAACAAATGATAGAAAACAAAGACAACAAAGATTTATTGGCCTCCAGTTACATTTTACAGCAGTTCAATTTGAAGAAGCAGATGTGGATGTAGTCACAAAGTGGCTCTGCAGATGCTTTTCCGTTTGGAAGTTGGACAGCAAAGTCTCCATATAGCAGACAGACACTCTGACATGTGGGGCTGAATGTTCACTGCCTCTTTGTAATAATTCCCCTTGTTAAAAACCTCTTTTTCAAACTGAACTTTTAACTTCAGTGTCACAGTAAGTCAACAGGTGGGATCTG